GAGGGCAATGAATGTACAAATGTGCTTTACACAATTGATGTATGTATGGATTGTGATAAGTGTTGTATGAGCCCCTAATAAAATGATTTAAAAAAGAAAAATTAACATATTCTTACAGGAAAAGAGTAAGTTACATGTGTACAAGAACACACATTAATCTTTGTTCTAAAATTGAATAATTTCATATATGTATATTCCACATATATGGGATTATCCCATTTTTGAGCGAAGACCAAGGTGTGTCCATACACATATTTATAATCATAGAAAAAAGTTTGGATGGATACATATCAAAGGTTAACGGGTTAAATCGGGGGAATAAAACTAGATACTGAAGCCTAAGTACAATTAAGAAAAATTTTACGTAAGTTTTATATTGTTTGAAAGAATTTAAAAACTTTCATGAAAAATTATTTTCAATGGAAAAAGGCCATTAGTAACTTCTGACCATTCAGATGAGTGCATAGCAGAGGCAGTGGTAACTGTAGAGCTAATTAGAAAGGATTCCTTGGATAAATGGGCATGAAACCCGATTTCAGGCGGAAAAACAAAGAATACTTGTTGCCATTGAGGAGAGTAAGGAGATCCGTAGCAGGCAGGAAATAAATCTGGTAAGGAGTCAATCAGTAGAGATTCGTGAGCAGCAGCAGAGAGACGTGGAAAATGCAGGGTTTGTAAACTAAGCCAGCAGTGGTTGCAGCATTGGGAGGGTTAGACCCTGCCAGTACGGGCGCCCACGAGGGGGTGCTGTCTCAACAACACAGGTTGATTTAAGGTTAAAAGAATGTATACCAGGTGGAACGTTCAGACAAAGGGGGGGGGTGTTGGAAAATTTAATAAAAAAAGACATGTAAATATTAACTATATCCTCATTACCGCGCGCTCCCCATCTCGGCCTCAAGGCGGAACACAATACCTACGCACTTTAGTGTGCCAACGGCACGTGCCTGCTTGCCTCCACCTCGAGACTGCAGTTCCCAGGCACCCTTGCGGGAGCCCGAGGCGCGCGTCCCGGGCGCAGGCGGGCTTGCACACGGCGCCCTGGGGCTTGTAGTTCTGCAGGTCGCACGGGAGTTGTAGTTCCCTCGCCACAATCGGCTGGGCTGGGCGGCGCCGGCGAGTAGAGCCGCGCGGGGTGTTCAGGGGCCAAGATGGCGGCGCGCCGGGGACGGAGAGACGGAGTCGCGCCGCCCCCGGGCGGGGGCCCCGGGCCGGGGCCTGGCGGCGGGGTCCTCAGCGGTGGTTGGGGCGCCCGGAGTCAAGCACCGTATGGGAGCGCGGGCTCTGTGAGCGGTGCGGAGCAGGTGAGAGGCTGGCCGGCGGCCCGCGGCTGGCAGCAGAGCGGCGTGTGCCGGGCGGGTGACACGTGGACGCCACAGGAAAGGGAGGAAGCGCTGTAGAATCGATGCCGGGTGGCCGCGGGAGCCGGCCTGGGCCGAGTGGACCCGGGCGTTCGGTTAGATGGGGGGCGAGATCCCTCTCGCCATTCGAAAGGGTCGCGGGATGGGCAGAGCTTGGTGTCGGAAACACTCAGGGCCGTGCGAGGGGGCCAGGGGACTCGGACTCGGAGGGGATGGCTGCGATCTAAAGATGCCGACCGTCCGCTGCGTCTCTAGCCCCGCGCTGCAGTTGCCTGTTTGGAGCCACGTGGGGCGGCGGGGTGCGGGTGAACTTGTAGCTTCCCTTCCCCCTCTGGGCGGCCCCGGCACCCACTAACTAGGGTTGCGCTCCTGGTCAGGGGGCCGCGGGTCCACGTGGGGGCGGAGAAGGAATGCCCACGTGGCTCCCGCCCCAAGCTGCCCAGCATCTCGTGTCTGCCCAGGAGCCGCACTGCCGGGAACTGGGTGTGTCTCCGTCCGTCCCGCCATCTCCAGGCTGGGCTGCGGCCCCTGGCCGGGTACGGAGGTAGGGCTGCTAGAGGCAACTTTGCCCAGGGCTTGGGAGTTCTTTTTCCGTCCGCCTCGGTCCGCGGCCGCTCTCGATCTCGGGTGCTAACGGACTTTCCATATGTGCCGGGGAGCTGGCTCCCTGTGGATGGCGGAGGGTAGTGGGCAGGGTGTTGGGAGAGCCCAGGCGAAGGGCTGTGGAGGAGTGAGCTGGTGGCGGCGGCTTCTGTCTGACCGGCTTGGGGTAGATTGTGAGTCACGGGCTCTGGCATTTTGGCCGTCTGCAGCTCAGCCCCTTCCGTGATTCAAGGGGAGTGGAGAGAGTGTCCACCTACACGTGAGGCCAGCTCCCGTCCAGGAAAGGGAAGCCACTTTCGCCGTTGACTCGTTCTTAAGGCACAGCTTTGGATGAGGCTGCTAAGTCCTCTAAGGTGTAGACACAGCAACTGGGTGGTCTATGTTTAAGGCTTTCTGGAATTCTTGCGGGGGGGGGGGCGCGGAGGGCGGGGCACCTGTGCTGGTGGGAAAAGTTGGAGGCAGTTTGAGAACTATTCAACAGTAGCTGAGTATTTATTGGATAAGGGGAAATGCTGTCAGATCCTCCGTTTGGCTTTCATTTCCCCATCCTTAAGAAGTGTCATTGCCCCACGCCTCAGCCAAGGACAAGTTACCACCTTTAAAGAAGGGTGGGGCAGGCAGGCATAATTTTGAATTATCTCTTCTGACCAATTAAACTGAGTCCTTGAGAGCTTTTTTTGTGTCTAGCTGGGAGTTGGGTGACAGGCTAGCTCCAGGAATGTCCAGTCAGAGAACCAGTGCCAAGGCTACATCTTGTTTGACTGTATACCTTCTGAGGGGAGAAGCGGGAGTTATCCAAAATCCAGTTGGAATCCAAGTTCAGTGGTCGTTTGGGGTGTTGGAGAGACATTCATTCGCCCTTCTCTCTCAACTGATTGGTGGTGGTGAACTAGGTAGCCCCTAGCTGTCTATTGAGATAACATTGTGTTTTGGCACAGGTGGGACAATGGTGAACCAAACAAACATGGTCCCTGCCCTCAAGGGTCTTTTGTTTCTGTCAGGACAGATGATAAATAATGACAAGTAGGGCAAACGGAAGTTGATTGGATGATGGGCAGTAGTACTGTGCCTTGCAGGGTCTGAAAAGGGACTTTTGTATCCGAGACGTGTACGTTCCACATGTGTGAAAAAGCTTCCGTTGTAGGGATCAGGACATACAAGCATTGATTGAGATGGGGAGACAACGTGGCTTATTTGAGAAACCAAGAGACTTGCATGACCATTGTGGAGAGAGTCACAGGCAGAGTGGCCGGAGAGGACACCCAGGACCAGGAGAGCCTGGTGAGCTACGTGCAGGCAGGACCCCAGTGGTCATATGTGGAAGCGTGTAAATGTAATGATAAGAGCAGTTAGTAGGATGTCATTGAAAGGATTTAGGGGGTGGGTTCCAAGCGAGGGATCCGATGTACTTTAAAGTTTCTGGCTGCTTGGTGCAGGAAAGCCAGTGGAAAGATTGTGGAAACTAAGGTGCTGATGACTGCCCTTCTTCCCAAGCTTAGCCCTTGAGTGATCTCGTTATTTAGAGAGTTGGGCTGCTTGGGTAGTGAGAGGTAGATAAGGTCAAGACAGGGGAGGGTCTCTTGCCTGAGAAGCCAGAACCTGCCTGGTGGTCTAGGTAAGTGGAGGTGAATGGAGTTTAGGTGACATGGCAAAGTCAAGGTGTCGTCTCTTTGTTCACTCAAGTATTTGCTGAGCCAGATGCTATTCAGCTGCTGTGGTAATTACAGGATTGTGACGACCTGGGAGGGGTTAATGCCCCAACCCTGCCACCCTTCATTTCTGGATCGGTGTCCATCCAGTCTTTCCTTTTCCTAGGCATCTAAACTCCTCAGCTGGTTCATGTCACGGGGATGTGTGTGCATGTGTGTAGTGGTGGGGGGGCCTAGGGCAAGTATGGTCACACCTGTTGCTTTTGTTGGGTGGGTGAGTGTGCGTGGGTGTTTTTCTGGCTACAGAAGGTGATGGAGAGCTGACCTGTGTTTGTTCCTGTTTCCACCCATCTGTTTTCTCCAGCGGTGAGACCCTGTGCTTTGCCCTCCACAACCCTATTCTAGCTACTTCTGGCCCTGCCCACACCCACACTCATGACAGGCCTGGGCGGTGGCGCCTTGCCTGACAGGCTGAAGATGTTAGTTCTCAGAGGACCGTGGGGTGGGGCCTCTCCATCTGCAGACTCAGGCGTTCTCTTTTACTTTTTACCTGTTGGGGGGGGGTAAGGAGGGAGGGACCCTCCTGGTGGGATTCCCGGTAAGAACCTTGTAAATGGATGTGCATTGTGTACAAGAGACTGTCGGGCATCATGGGTGACCGGGAGCTATAAGCACAATTTCAACCCTTTTGGGCACCAGAAACACGTAGAATAAAATACTAAGAGACTTGGATTGTAGTTTGGGGAGGTAGGTGTGGGCTGGGGGACAGAATGTGATCACCAGAGAAGTGGGTGGTTTGGGGACAAGTGCATTCAGGAGTGTGAGGCGAACTTGTCTTCCCCAAGAAGGTGAGGTTTGAGCTAAGAGAAGAGACGCTTGAGGGAGGTCAGGTGAGACTGTACCTGAAACTAGCTCCATTCTGCCCTCCTTGGCTTGCGTGTGTCCCTGAGATGGCTTCACTCCTGCCAGGAGTTGCCTCTGCTGAACGAGCTGTTTGATCTTTTGACTCCCCAGTTTCATAATCTCCTTGGGTTTCCGACTATTTGTGGATGGAGTCCAGACTTTGTCTGCTCCGAAGGTCTTTGAATGCTGCCATCCTTGGCTCGTGGGCTGGGCTTCTTTTTGTCCAGCTAGCCCACAGGTCTGGCAGTGGTAGGGCTGTGGCTGGGTTTGGGTCCCTAGCGGAAGGATGGGTACCTGGTTTACAGCGCACATCAAACTGGAACCCCCTCCCCCTCATGTCCCATGCCACGCATTCCTCTGACTCGCACCCCCTTCCCCTTTGCTCTAGGTGCTGCTGCATGAGGAAGGGGGTGATTCTGGTTTTGTCAGTCTAGCTCGTTTGGGCCCCTCTCTGCGAGACAAGGACTTGGAGATGGAGGAGCTGCTGCTGCAGGATGAGACCCTGCTGGGGACCATGCAGAGCTACATGGATGCCTCCCTCATCTCCCTCATTGAGGATTTCGGGAGCCTCGGGGAGGTGAGCTGGGCTGACCTGGATGGAGGTCTTCAGGCAGGAGCTTGGGATGGGAGGCTAGAACTCAACTGCTTGGAGTCGTTGGAGGGCATGGTTCTGGCCTCGAGCTGGCAGCCTGGGCATCTAAACTGACTCCTTGAGAAGTGGTTTTCATCTCCAGGTGAGAGTGGACCTGCACGTTTCCAGGTCATGTCCTGTGGAAGGCTGTTCGGGCAGGCCTGGACTGCAATTGCTCAAGGCCTTTCTCTCTGCTGGGGCTCTAACCTACATGGCCAGGAAGTTTTGCTCAGTCTTTGAGCCCAGTGTTAGCTCAATGAAGAAGGGCCTGCTGAGCATCCGTATCTCACCTGAGTTGAGGGCAGGGCCTTGTGTGAAATTCAAGTTTGTCGTTTGCCACGGTTGTCCTAGAGACCACTAGAAAAGGGGACCAGTCACTGATCGTGATGTCTCAGTGCCCATTGCATCTTTCTGCCCTGAGCCTGGACACGGAAGATGGTTCTGAGCATGTGAATGTGGGAAATGGCCTTTCTTAGTTAAAACAAGAAGCAGACTGTAAAACAGGATGAGTGCTCATCTCAGCACAAAAATTACCCACCTGGGGATGGAAACGGCATCCATGGGTACCCTACTGTGTTCTATAGGCAAGAGACTCAAGGGGACACTATAAATGGTTTTTTCCTGGCTTCTAGGAGCTATCTCTTAAGGTAAGGTGACCAGATTTTAACATTGGTAAAGCGGGACACCATTGATAAAACTCATATCCTGGTGAAATAGCCACATGGCAGCCGAAAACCGTATACCCTAGCTTGTCGTGCATTCTTTAAAAAAATCGGGACTTTTTAAAAACACAGGACGCGGGGAAAAATTATTAAATATCGGGACACCTGGTCACCTTACCTTAAGGACATGGAGAACTCTTCTATGTATACCTTCACCTGGTAGCCAGTTTTATACCCCAAAGTCCATTTAATCCAAGAACACCAGTTGCAATGTAAAGCAGACATGTGGGCACCAACCTATAGTAACATCTCTTTTGACAAATTGTGTATATATATAGTAACATCACTGTTGACAAATATTAGGCTTCAGAAGAGGGGTAGGGTTTGTCCAAGGCCTACCATCTCATGCCCCCTTTCCAACAATCCTGAGGCTTGTTGCCAAGGTGATGAGATTCCAACTATTTAGTGTAGTTTTAAGTGTTACCTGGATGTTTTAGAACAGCAGTTCTCAACCTCTGGGTCGCGACCCCTTTGCGAGTCGAATGACCCTTTCACAGGGGTCACCTGATTCATAACTAGCAAAATGACAGTTATGAAGTAGTATGATTGGGGGTGGGGGTCACCACCACATGAGGAGCTCTATGAGAGGGTCTCAGCATGAGGAAGGTTGAGAACCACTGTTTGAGGAGAAAGAAGAGCACTTTTTACTGGTCAAGCGTTTCCAAGGGCTACTTACAGAAACCAGAGACTACAGGCCCTTCAAGATAGGTCGCAGTCAGCCCTCGAGAGGTGGTCGGTGGTTGTAAAAGTCTCCCAGTGGTCCTCGCTGTCCAGTTGAGCTGCGCCAGGGAGACTTGATGTTCCCGGCCTCCAGTCCATCTTGGTGGGGCTTTCCCATTGTCTTTCTGGAGCAGGGCCGGCTGTCTCTGGAAGACCAGAACGAAGTGTCGCTGCTGACAGCTTTGACTGAAATCTTGGACAATGCCGATTCCGAGAACCTGTCTCCGTTCGATAGCATTCCCGACTCGGAGCTCCTTGTGTCACCTCGGGAAGGAGCCTCGGTGAGTGTGGGATCAGGGGAGGGGACGTGTGGTTAGTACAGAAGTTAGAGCTTATGGGTCCGCTCATGTTGTTTGGAGGCAAAAAGCTCCACTTGCTCTCTCCCTTTTAGCTGCACAAGCTACTTACCCTGTCTCGGTCACCCCCGGATCACGACCTGATTGCCTCAGGTGACCCTTTGGGGCCGACCACAGGCAGTAGCAGAGTGAGTAAACCTGACCCAGGGAACCTCAGGGACTCACGAGGGAGGAGTGTGGGCGGAGGGCCTGAGACGAATGCTTTTCTGGAGGGAGTTCCTGAGACTTCTCTTCTGTCCTGCAGGTCGATATGGCCCTTGCAGCAGATTCTTGGGATTTCCCCCCACCTTCTTTCTTGGAGACTTCTTCCCCCAAGCTTCCTAGCCGGAGGACCCCGAGGTCACGACCCCGCTGGGGGTCGTCCTCACCTCCTCCGCAGCGAAGTGATGGAGAAGAGGAGGAGGAGGTAGCTGGCTTCAGTGCCCAGGTGCTTGCTGGGGAGTTTGACAACTCAGGGAGTCACATCCTAGACTTCCCCATGTACCTGGCCTGCCCCGAGGAGGAAGAGGAAGATGCAGCAGCAGAGACGGCGGCACCATCCGTCGGTGACGAGAGCATCTCCTCCCTGAGTGAGCTGGTGCGGGCCATGCACCCATACTGCTTGCCCAACTTCACCCACATGTCATCGCTTGAGGACGAGCTTCTAGAGCAGCCCGAGGACCTGATGCTGTCCGAGGATTGTGTGGTGCTGGAGATTGTGGGCCATGCGGCTACTGCTGGCGATGAGCTGGAAATACCAGTGCTGGTGCGGCAGATCCCTACCGGACCGCAGCCTGTGCTGAATGACTCGCTAGAGGCTAACAGGGCTCTGCAGTTGCTCATGCCCACTCCAGAGTCCGAGAGAGAGGCCAATGTGCCCCAGGAAGAGGCAAGACTAGACTCAGCATGTTTGTTGGAGCCCAAGGAGGTCATGGAAGCTGGGGTGCCCGAGGAGCCTCCAAACCCCTCTGCGAGCACCATGCTTGGGTCCCTGAGAGCTCGGAAGGGAAGGAGGAAGAAGAGCAAAGATCAGTCCACAGCTTGTGTGGAAGGCTGTGCCAGGAGGCTGAGGTCATCCGCTCGTGGGCAGTCGGCTGTGGCCTTGGAGGCCACTTCTCAAGCAGGCAATTTGCAGAAGCAGCCTAGGGAGGAACTTCAAAGAAAGCTGGGGCCTCCTGGGGGTGGAGGTAAGCCCCGGGCCTGGGTTCGGGCCTGGGCAGCTGTCTTGGATCAGACCAGCACAGAGAACCTGGAGCGTGGTACTGGACAGGCTAGTCCTACTAAAGGTGGACCTTTGGATCTCCACCCCAAAGTGGTGGACGCGCCCCAAGCCGACCCTGATCTTGCCCCTCTCTCCGTGATTGGATCTGCTCAAGCCAACCCTATAGCAGTTGACTCTGTTGAATCGGTTCCTACTGTCGTTGAACCCGTTGTAGCTGACCCTGCACTAGTTGACCAAACCTCAGCCAGCTCCGAGCTGGTCGACCGTCTGGCGCATGAGTCAGTCTTGGCTGACGCAGCCACCACGGACCCTGCAGTGGTTGTTTCCAATGCAGATGATCTGGCATCGGTTGACCCTGCTCCCGATGACCTTGCTCCTGTCAAACCTGTGTGTGTGAAGTCCAGGCCAACTGATCTCAGGCGTCGTGCAGCATCAGCAACCCCGGGGAGCGTGGAGTCGGAGTCCTCAGATGACCCAAAAGCCACCTCTGACGTCAAGGAAGCAGTGGGACCCCTGAAAGTAGAAAGTGGTCCTAATGCCACAACCCAGGAAGCCAGACCTCGGCCCCTCAGCCTGTCCGAGTATTGGCGACGAAGGCAGCAACGCCAAGCAGAGACAGAAGAGAAGAGTGCCCAGCCACCAGCTGGGAAATGGCCCAGCCTCCCAGAGACCCCCACAGGGCTGGCAGACATCCCTTGTCTTGTCATCCCACCAGCTCCAGCCAAGAAGACAGCTCTGCAGAGAACCACTGAAACTTTACTTGAGCCTCCTCCCGAGGCGGGTGCTGTGCCTGTGGGTCCCACCCCTGCTGCTTCCAGTCCTGAGCCATCGTCAAGCAAACCTGTGGCCTCAACTCCCATGGAGCAGGTGCCATCCCAAGAGATGCTACTGCCTCCAAGACCACCACCTCCTGTTGGCCCAATGCCTCCCATAATGCCCACTCTGCCTTTTCCTCCAGCGGGGCTAGGCATGCCTCCCATGTTACCCCTTCCCCCAAGTGGGCAGGGGCTCCCTGGCCTGCCTCCACCACCTTTGCAGACTCCAAGTCTTCCGATGTGTAGGGGGCCAGTGCCACCTGACCCTTACAGCCATTATGCTTCTGTGCCGCCTTGGCCTTGTTATCCACCTGTGCCCCCTTCTAGATATCCCTGCCTGCCCCCACCACCGGGGCCTGTAGTGTCTGGTACTCCTGGCACCTATGCTGTGCCTCCCACTTGCAATGTGCCTTGGGTACCCCCTCCAGCCCCAGTCCCACCCTATAGTTCCACCTGTTCTTATGGACCTGTGGGATGGGGCCCAAGCCCGCAGCCGCCTCCATTCTGGCCTTCGGTGCCTCCGCCTCCTTTACCTCCAGCCTCTGTTGGGAGAGTTGCTCCCCCACCCCAAGTAGCTCCCAGTGACATCCCAGCTGACCCTTCTGAAAGTGTACTTCCGGTGCCTGTGGCTCCGTCTGTCAGCCTTGGGCCCACTGGCCGGGGCGCCTCGCCGATAGAGCCCACCAAGCCAGTGCCTGTGTCTCCCCCCCTGAAACACAAGGTGGCTTCCCCAGTGCAAAGTCCCCAGAGCCAGGCCCCACCCTGCCTAGCTGCTGAGGGGGCGGCTGTTGAGCTCGTGTCGGGGAGGCCAAAGCCTGAGACCCAGGAGACCAGGCAACAGGAGAAGCTCCCCTCTCTTGCTGCCAAGGCTGTGCCCAAACCAAGGCAGAGTGTTGGCACCAAGCTGCCTGCTCTTCACCCAGCCTGTCTAAGGAAACTATCCTTCCTGCCTGTCCAACGCACCCAGGGTCCCGAGGACGTGGTGCAGGCTTTCATCAGTGAGATTGGTGAGTGCCGCACACACAGCCAAGCCATCTCCCATAGCTCAGTGCTTGCGTGTCCTGTTCCCGACAAGGAAAGCTTTTTCACATATGGGGAACTTATAAGTCTCTGATACAAATGTCCCTTTCCAGACCCTGCAAGGCAAATTACTACTGGGTGGAGAGTAATTTTCTTGGGACTACTTTGGAGGGTTCCCTGGAGACACAGTTCTGGGTTTGTTGGTATCTTGAGTGCCACTCTGTTCTGTCACCGTGGTTTTACTTCGTACCGTGGACAGAGGGACATACAAGGAGAAGGAAGGATGCCTGAGGTCTGTCTGCTTGGGCCTGGTAAGGCCTGGTTTCCAATCTTGTATTGTGCCTTTCCCAGGCATTGAGGCGTCGGACCTGTCCAGTCTGCTGGAGCAATTTGAGAAATCAGAAGGTAAAAGATCCTGTGTAGCTTCAGCTCCAACCCCAACTCCTTTTCTGCTGTTAACCACTTTGGGGCCCAGCCTGATCGTCGCTGGGGTGGGGGGAAGAACAGTCTTGACCCCCAGAGCAACCCCTTCGTTGAGATGGACAGATGAGCTGCACCTGTGAGATGATCAAAGCTCGTAACAGGCAGGGGTGGCTTGAGGACATCTTTTGAGAGCAGTGGTTCTCAACCTTCCTAATGTCGATGCCCTTTAATACAGGTTCCTCATGTTGTGACCTCCCCCCCAACCATAAAATTTTTGTTGCTACTTCATAACTCATTTTGCTACTGTTATGAATCGGGCGACCCCTGTAAAGGTCCATACGACTCCCAAAGGGGGGGGGGGTTTCGTATGTTCTAGAGGGAAGTAGCTCATCCTGGGCCTCAAAAGATTGGATTTCAAAGTGAATGTTGTGTGGATGGTTAGTGAAGGCATGGTCACGTGCTTTTTAGGAAGCCTGAATAGCTCCGTTTTCCTGGTTGCAAGGATGGTTCTAGAAGTTGTGGAGGGGCAATCCTGTGTCTTCTTAGTAATGTGAGGTCTGATGGGCGGAGGAGTGGGTCTGAAGACTTGCCGTCGACTTGAGAACGGGTACTTAGCGTACGAGGTGGAAATGAGTGTCAGCCAAGTCGGCTGTGAGGCTGGAAGTTAGCTAGGCGAGTCATCTAGACCTACGCGTTTCTGACCCACGATCTCCAGGTCACCGAAGCGTGTGGGGGTTTTGATGGAGGCATGTTAAAAATAGTGTCTGGTTCCCCGCTGAAGAAGGATGGGTCTCTGGGAGAGCCCAGCAGCAGAACTTCAGGCAACCTGCTAGCCCTCCTTTGGGTCTCTAAGCCAGACTTTATGCCCTACAGTCCAGAACATCTGGTTGGGCTTGTAACTAGTGTGGTTTCTTTGCAGCCAAAAAGGAGTGCCCTCCCCCGGCTCCTGCTGACAGCTTGGCTGTAGGAAACTCGGGGTAAGTATGGAGACTCGAGAGCGAGTTACCCTACAGCTGTTGGTCAGCAGCCAGCCAGCACTCCAGGACCCTTGACCGATGTCTCTGTGGCAGGATGCCTCGTCTGCCTTTACGGCTTTCCCCGTGTTTTCTTCACCGCCTATATCTGCCCAGTCCCACTGGGTATTATCTTAGGTGTCAAGGCGGGAGGGTGTGTGCAGTCCTCCAGCTCATTTCAGTCCACAAGTCCCAAGGCTGTGACATGCCTTTGACTGCCTTCGGGCGGGTCATGCCTGGGGGATTGCTGCGCTTTATAGAGTAAACTCAGTGCTGGGGAAGGGGTAGAAGTTGGGGGAAGATGTTCAGGGCTAGGTTTTCCCTGACTCCATGGAGGACACAGGTATCTGGTCCTACTAGCTCTCCAGTGAACTGAAAGGCCTTTTCCATGTTCCCTTTCCCCCTGGTCTCCGGTTGCTTGGAGCTAGGCAGGCAAGGCTCCTGGCTTGACAGAGTTGTGGGGAGTTCAAGGTCCTAGTTACCTGCCTCCTAGAATGAGGCCAAGCTGAGTTGAGACCTGATCTACAGTTCAGCCATGGTGGCCCCTTTTGCGCCAGGGGAGAGCAAGAGGAGCCATTTGTGCTTCCCACTGCGGTCTGCTCTTGCCCTTATCCCGTTGCCATGTGAGGAGAGCAGATTGGCAAGATGTTGAGGAGGCAATGAACCAGGCTTTTCCCTCTCCCCACCCCTGCCAGCAGCGGTGACCCTTCCCAGGAGAAGAAGCCCCTGGACCGGTTACAAGCCCCAGAACTGGCCAACGTGGCAGGTGGGTTCTGGTGGAGGATGACCTCTGCCTTTGACTGGTTCAAGCAGCAAACATTTCCAGAGCCTGCTTCGCACCGAGTGTGTCTTGGTGATAGGGATACGGAGGTCTCCACCTTTGAGGTTGTGTGCACACAGGAGCAGATTGAATGCCAGAGGTGGTATGCTAGAGAAGCCGGTTCACAGTGGGGGTCAAAGGGGGTTATATGAGGTTGGGAGGTTATATGAGGGCACTTTAGAAAGATTCCATCACCTTTGAATTCAATTCCATTTTCCCCACAAACTTGTTAAGTCCTCTTTGTATAAAAGCTAACCACCCAAACAGGCTGAAGAAAGGTCCCAATAGTTGGGCTGAATGAGGGACTAGCCATCCTGGATAGAGGGAGCAGCTTAAGCAAACTGACACAAAGCATCCTGGTGTGTGTTTGGGATTTTGTGGGTGGTTTGGTACGGCCAGAGTCTAGTGGTAGTCCAGAGCTTGCCAAACTTATTTAATCAGCTGTCCTCTTTTTAAGGGGGGGTTGGGGGAGAAGACTCAGTACCCCCCCCCAATAATTAACAATTTATAGTAGAGGCCATAAACCAGGATAAAGTGGGGGTGCTGTTTTTACAGCTCCTTCTGGATTTTTCCAGCATGCTCGCCCCTTGCCCAGGGGATGGTATTGCCCACTTTGGGAAACACTGATAACAAGGTTAAAGCGAGAGGGGAAGCTGTAGCAAGTAGGTCAGTTACGGCAGGCGTCCTCAAACTGCGGCCTGCGGGCCACATGCGGCCCGCCGAGGACATTTATCTGGCCTGCCGGTGTTTTTGCCCCATTTGTTTTTTTACTTCAAAATAAGATATGTGCAGTGTGCATAGGAATTTGTTCATAGTTTTGTTTTGTTTTTAACTATAGTCCGGCCCTTCCAATGAGTCTGAGGGACAGTGAACTGGCCCCCTGTTTGAAAAGTTTGTGGACCCCTGAGTTACAGGAACTTGCAATTGACTGCCTTGTTACTGTGTTTAGAGGCTACCCTGAGTTACAGGAACATGCATTGACTGCCTTGTTACTGTGTTTAGAGGCTATCCTGTGCATGGTAAAGAGCAGTTGGAGAAACCGTGCCTGGTTGGTGTTTGGAAGCCCTCACTAGCAGGAATGTAGATTGATGAATACATGAGAAGATACCATAAGATTGGGGAAAGAGAAAGATTGATGATGAGAAACCAGAGCTCAGGAGACCCTTAGAAGATGATGGCAGGAGCTCAGGAAAGATGCAGGGATGGGTGGCACGTTGGGGTGGAGCTAAGAATGGAAAAGGAGTCTGGATAGGACCTGGCAGTGAGAACAAAGGGCTTAGGGGGCTCCTAGCAGGTGGGGTTTCTCTCATTGGTCCCCGATGCGGGGATCACAGGAAGAGCGGTGGGATGGGCTGGGCTGTTGACTGCTTGGTACCCTTTCTGAGTTGGGGCGGGGGTGTGTGTCTTTGGAGTCTGTTTGGAAGTGAAGAGTGGGATCTCACCATGCTCTCTCCGCCCTCCCTCATCCCACAGGGCTCACCCCTCCAGCCACCCCTCCCCACCAGTTATGGAAGCCCCTGGCTGCTGTTTCTCTGCTGGCCAAAGCCAAATCTCCTAAGTCCAACGCCCAGGAGGGAACCCTGAAGCCTGAAGGAGTCACAGAGGCCAAACATCCATCTACAGCCCGCCTCCAAGAAGAGGCCCCTGGCCCTAGTCCAGTCCACGTGGGCTCCGGGGATCATGACTATTGTGTCCGGAGCAGGACCCCCCCAAAAAAGATGCCTGCCTTAGTCATTCCAGAGGTGGGCTCCCGATGGAACGTCAAACGCCATCAGGACATCACCATCAAGCCCGTGTTGTCCCTGGGCCCAGCTGTCCCCTTGGCCCTCCCCACAGCTGCCTCCCAGGAGCCACTTGATCACAGGACTAGCATTGAGCAGGCAGATGCCCCAGCTGCCTGCCTTGCCCCGTCCACTTTGCTGTCCCCTGAGGCCTCACCCTGCCGGAATGAAATGAACACTAGGACTCCCCCTGTGTCCTCAGCCAAGCAGCGGTCAATGCGCTGTTACCGAAAGGCTTGCAGGTCAGCCAGCCCCCCAAGCCTGTGCTGGCAGGGTCGTCGGGGCTGCAGCAGCCGGTCTGTCAGCTCTGAGTCCAGTGGGACCAGTGAAGCGTCTTCCTCCGCATCATCTTCGTCATCCTCATCCCGGTCCCGGTCCCGGTCCCTCTCCCCTCCCCACAAGAGGTGGCGAAGGTGAGCTCTGGTGGCCCCTTATGGCCTCTCCCTTTAGGAGCTTCGTGAACTTCTGGTTTCCTTGGAAAGCTCTTGTTCCTTAACGTTGATACTTTCAAGCACTAAGGTTTCTATTTCTGCTTTTGGCTTTTCTCAATGATTGTCAAAGGAGCCAAAGTGTGGGACGAAAGCTACTGTGCTCTGTTGGAGTTGGGGAAACTCCTAGGATTTGACCTTGACCAGGCCAATTTCTTCCCATGCGATCCTGGTGCTGATTTGGGCTTTTCCTGTTGCTGTGTGGGCTAGTGGGCGAGTTGTTCCCCACCTGCTGTCTTTCCCTGGGCCTCCTGTTGAGCAGAATCTGGGCCAGTGCCTTTGGTGTTACTGCACTCATCAGTTCCCTGCACCATCCTTACTCCTGCTGGATCCTGATCTTCCCCAGTAGAAGAATTTTTGTTCCTGTAGTAGAGAGATGCCTTCAGAGACGAGACCTCCACAGGCCGAACACAGTCCCCCCACCCCATGGTTGGAGCAATCCTCTGAGACATGAACAGACGAGCAGCGGGCCAGAGACTCAGCTCTGGTCTCAGCATCAAAGTTAGCTGGCCCCAACTGAGCGCCCTGCCCTTTATGTAGTTTTCTTGTTTTCTGATGGAGAAATATTTTTAAAATGTTAATTGCACAACTGACAGTAGGATCTTTGCCAAAAGATTCCACACATATCCAAAGTTCCCACCGAGGGCCTCTACCAAGACTCGTGTTCTTGCAGACAACTTTTGCTCTGCTCTTTCTGTCTCTGGACCTGAGGCTCCGGCCGGGCAGTGGGGCTGGCAGAGACCAGGTTGGGGTAAGTGGGGGATGGCTGCGGTGCTCCTAGTTCTTCATGCACCTTAATTCTCCAGGTCCAGCTGCAGCTCCTCCGGGCGTTCTCGAAGATGTTCTTCCTCTTCCTCCTCCTCTTCCTCCTCCTCATCGCCTGCCTCGTCATCTTCCTCCAGTTCGAGAAGCCGGTCCCGCTCCCCATCCCCCCACCGGAGGAGTGACAGGAGGCGGCGGTGAGCATGTGTTTAGAGAAGGGTAGCAGTGCTGAGTCGTGGGTTAGCTTCTGTCTGGTGAGCTGATGGCTCTTCTCCTGCTCCTCCTCCTGTCAGGTATAGCTCTTACCGTTCTCATGACCATTACCAAAGGCAGAGAGTGCTGCAGAAGGAGCGTGCAATAGTGAGTAGAGGAGCAGGCTGTTGGAGGAGGGCTCCCCTGCAGTCAACGTCAGCTCTGGGCCTGGCTGGCTCACGGTGGGTCTGTTTTCCTTGTCCCAACCTAGGAAGAGAGAAGGGTGGTCTTTATTGGGAAGATCCCTGGCCACATGACTCGGTCAGAGTTGAAACAGAGGTTCTCTGTTTTCGGAGAGATTGAGGAGTGCACCATCCACTTCCGTGTCCAGGGGTAAGCTTGGACTCTAAGGTTAGGGTGTCCTTTCTGCCCCTCTCAGCTCCCTCGATACTTCTCTGGCTTTCCTCCTTGCTCTGATCTGCCGGGCAATGTAGAACACCTTCATTTCTATAATCAGAGGGTTGTCCATTTGGGGAACGGGAAGAACTACTCCAGACTCTCTATCTTGGACTGCTGTCACTCCTCCATAATATGTGTCCAAATAGCCACCCCAGCCCCTGCCTCACCCTCTCTACCAGCGACAACTATGGCTTCGTCACTTATCGCTACGCTGAGGAGGCAATTGCCGCTATCGAGAGTGGGCACAAGCTGCGACAGGCAGATGAACAACCTTTTGATCTTTGCTTTGGGGGCCGCAGGCAGTTCTGCAAGAGGAGCTATTCTGATCTTGGTGAGTGGAGAGAGAGCCTGAGGTTTGGGCACACTTCATCCCCCTCCTAGGAGGGTTCCCAACCCTTTGAACGTGAGGCTGGGCAGAGTTATCTTCCTACCTGTCAAGGAACCCAAGGGATGGAGTGAGAGGAGAAAGGGGACGCTCCTTCCTCTGACTTAAATTCAAGGCAATGTTAGCTCCACTCGGTGCTGGGATGGGTGGCCTTTTTCGAACCCTATGGTTGGGAAGTGGTAGAGACCTGAACTTTGACATTTGTTGGTCTTTCTCTATAGACTCCAACCGGGAAGACTTTGACCCTGCCCCTGTAAAGAGCAAATTCCAGTCTCTTGACTTTGACACGTTGTTGAAACAGGCCCAGAAGAACCTCCGGAGGTAACCCTGGGCTCTCCTTGCCCCCTTTGGAGGTGCCCAAACTCCTCCACCCCCCTCCCCCACTCTAGGGGAGAGAGCTGCTAGTGAGGAGATGACTGTTTTATAAAGAAATGAAAAAAATGAAATAAGAAAAGTATAAAATCAGATTTTTTTAAGGGGTATTTGTTTTTTATAACAGGTATTGAAACGATAACTTGCATTCCTCTATAAGGTGGGTGGGGCTGAGGGGTTCCCACGGTGTTTGGGACGTCAAAGTCACTATGCAGACTAATAAACATGAACTAGAGTGAACTCCCCAGTGTGCGTGTGCTTCTTGCTGGGGTGCCGCTACCGAATATACTCACTCTTCCTCCCTGTACATACATTCTCCAGAACATGCTTAGCCCCCTAAGTTCCTTTGACCTTCGGGTTGTGGACACTTCTCAAGTGTGTTATCTGCAGCTGTCATCAACGACGGCGGCAATTCTCACGCGCGCGAGAGGGTGTTTGAGTCATCTGGGGACCATTCCAAATGCATCCTTCTGGAGTTAGGTCTGAGATTCTACATTGCCTCCAAGGAAATGTTGCAGCAAGAATGTAGGGGATGCTCACACAAAGAACAAAATCCACTGCCATCAAGTGGATTCCGGCCCAAGACACCATGGAGGCTTCTGAGGCTGTAAATCTCTGTGGGAGTAGATAACCAGCTCTTTTCCTGTTGTTCCAAATCAAGGTTCTCTGAACTAGGACTCTGCTCATGTAGCATCTCAGTTTTGCTCATTTTACAGCAGGCAGGCAAATGTTTAAAGAATGCACACCAGCCTGTGTGATCATGAGGTATCCATGGGATCGGGTTTCAGGCATCAAAGACGCAGAACAAACAATCATATCAATATGAATGAGGGCCAGTGCGGAGTGGAGCCTCAAAGCCCATCTGTAGACAATTGGACATCCCCTTACAGAAGGGTCACAAGAGACCAGCCAGTCAAGGTGCAGTTCAGCACTGATGAAACATACCTTTCCTCTAGTTCTTTATTGTTTCCTTCTCCCCACGATCATGACCCCAATTCTACCTTACAAATTGACTAGACCAGAGCATGTACATGGGTACAGATAAGAGCTGGAAACGGAATCCAGGGCAGATAAACCCCTCAGGACCAACAATGAGTAGCCATACCAGCAGGGGTGGGGGGAGGAAGGGGGAACCAATCACAAATGAGCTACATATAACCCCCTCCCAGGGTGGGGGCAACAAAAATGGGTGAAAGACATGAAAAACTGAATTGTCAAGGGTTCATGAGGGAGGGAGTGGGAACAAATGAGCTGGTACCAAGGGCTCAAGTAGAAAATGTTTTGAAAATGTTGATGGCAACATAGGTACAAATCTGCTTGACACGATGATGGGTGGATGGATTGTGCTAAGAGCTGTACTAGCCCCCAATAACATTTTTTTTTAATGCATGTATGCCAGATGGAGCTGCCACCTCTTGAAGCTGCTGGAGTTATAGCTCGGAAATAGGGGGTGTACCTATTTTGAGAAAGGGAGTCCATGAAGTGGATTCTTACCTTTGAGGGGGATGCCGTTGCAGTGGTTCTCAACCTTCCTCATGCTGCAATCCTGTAATACAGCTCCTCATGTGGTGGTGACTCCCAACCATAAGATTATTTTCGTTGCTACTTCATAACTCATTTTGCGACTATTAGGAACCCTGGGGACTCATGTGAAAAGGTCTTTCGACTCCCAAAGGGGTTGAGACCCACGGGTTGAGAACCGCTGCGTTAGGGGGAAGTGATCATGAGATAGTTTGGAATTCAGTTTAAAGTGTATTTAAAGTACGGCAGAAATTGCAATTTCCTTTGCAGACCTGGCCATTGATGATGAATTTACAAATCTTTGGGAGGATTCCCTAGTTCTTCACAGACCTCTGATCCAAAAGATTTTTCAGGACTAGGGGCTGAGGGATTTCTTGGATTCAGAGAGAGATCTCCACCACCATTTTTCCCTCATGGAGCGGACCGAACACGTAATTTGGTCCCGAGTTTTTGGGTTATGAATCTGAGAGGCACGGGGACCAGTCGTCTGGGGGACCAACACCACGGGTAACACGAATGAAGAACCTCTGACTGCGGATGGGAGTTTGGAAACTGGGACGATCAACTGAGAAAGGGCTGCCCTGGGAGGCTCCTGCTGCAACGCGAATGGGAGCTGCGGAGAGTTCTCGGGAGCCGGTCGAGAGGGGAGGGGAGGTCCAGCGGCCGGTCTACCCCACTCTGGCATCAGCAGCCCAGCTGAAGCGCGGGAAACACGGATCTTAAGAAGCACCTCTAGCAAAAGGCCAACACTAAGGCGCGGGAAACCCGGAGTTTTCCCGCCACGACCGAGGGCGTGACTCCTGACGTCAAGGGCCAGCCCCCACAAAGTGAAGGCAGGAGCCCTTACCAAGATGGCCGCGCGCGTCGGACCGGAAGGAATTTACCGATTCCGCCAGGACCCAGCCACCGAGGTGGAGGCGGGACTCTTCCGTGGAAACCCAACGCCCGCGCTCTGAGATGACGTCACTAGACCCCGCCCCTAGACGTCCTGAGTTCCTGAGTCGCGCTGCGTCGGCAGACGTAGTGACGCGTGTATCCTGGAGGATGGCGGACGCCGGCTTGCGCCGCGTGGTTCCCAGCGACCTGTACCCCCTCGTGCTCGGCTTCCTACGCGACAACCAACTGTCAGAGGTGGCCACCAAGTTTGCCAAGGCGACAGGCGCGGTGAGTCCCGGGCTCGGGGCGCGGGCTTTGGTGGGGCCGCCACGAACCTCTGGGCCTTGACGTGCTTAGGGGTCTGGGTCCGGGGGAAGTGGGGTCTTCCAGTCGGCGGTCTGCGGAGCCATTGTACCGAGCTCCGGGCCGTGGCCCGGAAGGACCAGCGCGCTCGCGCCGCCGCGTTGCTGAGGCCCGGGGGGGTAGCGCTGCGGCTCGGTGCGTGTCCTGGGGAGCCGTGCCCCGGCTGCAGCCTGGGACCCGCGTGGCCCGAGTCACGTGGGCTGGGCGAGTCCGCGGGGGCTGTGTCGCGTCCCAGAGTATTGGCGCCCTCGGTCCTTTTAGGGTTTTCTTGGGTGGCGGCAGAACGTGAGTTTACCCAACTTTCCGTCACGTTTGCCCGAGGCGGGTGAAATTGCTCCAGAGCTTAAACTTCCACCGCAGGTCGAGTCGATTCGGACTCATCGCGACCCATCAGGGTAGCGTGGAACGGCTGTATAGTGTTTACGGGACCCGACTGCCTCGTTTTCCTCCTGCGTTTGACGCTCCAGCTTTGCAGCTAGTTATGCCCAAACCTTAACCCGCCACCAGGGCTCCTTTCTTGGCAATAAAATGAATGAGAGTAGAGGCAGGGTTCTGCTTCAAGTGAGAGTGGAACGGAAGTTGTTAAGCAACATGCAGGCACAGCAGTGGGCTTGGAGTTTTGGTGTATGGACTCTAGCAAAACTAGGTTTGAGACTTCGTCATTTTGCTAGAGTTCTGTATTTCTCCTTTATAGTCATGCAATTTGTAGAATCGTTGTTAAAAAACAAAAGAATCGTTGAATTTCCAGTAAAATGATAACGATAACGTGGCAATCCCAGTGCCTGATGTTCAGGAGTAAAAACTGTTGTAGTAATTTGGGATGCACCAAACCCTTGTGACTTCATACACATTGGGCTTTTTAGGTCAAGGTCAACAGTTGGAAACCACTGGCCTCTCTTGGGGAGAAACATGAGGCTTTCTACTCCCATCAAGAGTGACAGTCTTGGAAACCCACAGGGGCAGTTCTACCCTGTCCTATAGGGTCGCTGTGTGTCAGAATTGACTCGATGGTATTTAGACGGTGACCAATAGTATGACGGGTTTGGAATCCACATCTCCATGAACGCAGACAAAGCTGGTGAGAAAACCCCTGAAGAGAACGGTGTCAACATGGAGACAGGCTCGTTCGCTGTAGCTGAATTCTTTAAAAGGAGGTGATTGGGTCACCTTCAAAGAAATACTCTTCCCAACAGTCTGTTCAAAACCCCTTCCAGCTTAAGGAATTGCTCTGAATTAGAATTCTTTGGTTTTAAGAGACAAGTGAAGTGTTTACTGTGGCTTGTTATGCTAAAATTGTTAAAGGCTTTATCTCTTTCTGTCAACAACTTTCTATCAACAACGAGGTCCATACTACTGGGAAGAAAACCACCTTAGGGAGATGAAGTAATATGCCTAGCACCCTACAGTAATTACCTGGTGGGAGGGAATTTCACTTTTATACTGCTGCTGCTTGGTTGTTAGTGCCCTGCCAATTTTTGCATCACCTAGCAATCTGTATTAGTATTAAGAAGCCCTTGCCTAGAGGGAGGGTGGGTTGGAAAGGGGGAACTGATTACAAGGATCTACATATAGCCTCCTCCCTGGGGGACGGACAACAGAAAAGTGGGTGAAGGGAGACGTCAGACAGGGCAAGATATGACAAAATAATAATCTGTAAATTATCAAGGGTTCATAGGGTAAGTGGGGAGGAAGGGGAAAGATAGAGTTGATGCCAGGGGCTTGGGTGGAGAGCGGATGTTTTAAGAATGATGAGGGCAACGAATGTACAAATGTGCTTTACACAATTGATGTATGTATGGATTGTGGTAAGAGTTGTATGAGCCCCTAATAAAAAGATTTTTTTAAAAAAGAACAACTAAAAATAAAAAGAAACGTAACATCTCAATGTAAGCAAAAAAAAAAAAAAGAAGAAGAAGAATCCCTTCCAGTGCAGTGGTTAAGTTCTTGGTTGCTCCCTCAAATGTTGGCTGTTCAAGCCTACGATACGAGCTGCTCTACAGAGAAATGATGTGACAGTTGGCTTTAGTAGATTGCAGCCTTGGAAATCCTATTTGGGGGAAGGAGTGTTCTACTCTGTCCCCTGGGGTTGCTGTGAATTGGGATAGACTCTGGGACCATAGATTTTTGTTAGGTCTTTTTTCCCCCCCCTTTAATCATTATTTACAACTGAGTACCATCTATACTGTGTGTGTGAGGCCGCCTCAAAAGTATATGGAAAATGGAGATTAAAAGTATTGGCATTTACCCATGAATTATTTGAAGCTCCATTTTTAAGGTGGCTTATTTAACCAATTCTCATTGGGAGTCAAACCACATCACGTTAACCACCTTCTTGTATAAAATGGCTGTGTCCTTGTTCTGTGGGTAGGGATAAATTCCGAGATTGCTTAAATATGGAGGATACAGTTGGTTGATTGGTTTTCCCTAAGTTTTATTTGTTTTGTTGTTGAGAAGATACACCTATTCAACAGTTGCTACATAGATCGTCCACTTAGCTATTTCAGCGGCTTCATTCTTGAAGTGGTGCAACCATTCTCACCCTGTCTCACAACAGAAGCGAGGGTGTTTGTGTTTTAAGGTTTTGATGATCCTGAGTGAACAGGCAGGGGGATAGAAGAAGCCACAGACCATAGGAATAACCCACGTTTTTGGTATCAATAATTGGGGAGTACCAGAATAGAACAGTTTTTCCCCCTAATTTGTGCAAGGAGAGGAGAGGGCTTATCATGATATATTTGGTTACAGTGTCAGTAGGTGGCAGTCAAGAAGAATGCATCATCTGATGTCTCTCTGAAGAAGCAATATAACCCTTTCTTGGCTCTCCTTTTCCTTCTGCAGACCCATCAGGATGCCAATGCCTCTTCCCTCTTGGACATCTACAGTTTCTGGCTCAAGTAAGCCTCTTCCTCCCCCTCCCCCCACCCTCAGGGGTGGTCTGGGCTTTTGTGTTCCGTCATCTGGGAAGGTCCTGGTCCCCCAGACAGACGTTGGGATCATCTACTTCGGCAGGTCCAACAAGGCCCCAAAGCGGAAGTTACAAGCAAATGGGCCTGTCCCTCAGAAGGTGAACAAGACTTCCTCCAGTGACAGCAGTGAGGACAGCAGTGACGAGGAAGAAGCCCAGGTGCCTCCAGCGAAGAAGGCTGGTAGGCAGAGCAGGGAGCTTGGGGGTGGATGGGTTGCCAGCACAAGGGCTCTGTAACCCTCTTATACCCCATGGCTCACTCTGACCGGAACCTGTGCTGTTGTTCAGCGGTAGCTGCCAAGCGGGCCAGCCTGCCCCAGGACCCTAGAAAGGCTGTAGCCAAAGCTTCAGAGAGCAGCGACAGCAGTGACGAATCCAGTGAAGACGAAGAGGAGGACAAAAAGAAAAAGCCTGTCCAGGTGTGCTGCTTTGAGAAGGGAAGGGTTTGTTTCTGGAGCGGGAGGGGAAGAAACCTGAAATCAAGAGGTGGTGGTGGGTGGGGACAGGCAACTATGGCGAGGAAAATCGGGCTAAGTCTGGAAGGGATGTGGAGATAGGTTGGGCTTCTAATCTGGAGGAAACATGAGCACACTGCCCTGGGGACCCGGTCTGGGGCTCTGAGAGTCGGCGTGTGCTTTGTACATGGGTCATGGGAGCTCGTTGCTGAGTAGGGCCAAGTCCAGTGCACCAAGTGGCTCAACTTTTTTGGGGGGGCATATTGTGTCTTCCATTCTGCTTTGAATTCCCTCTCTCTTGCTCCGTTATCTCGTAAAAAATGAAAAACTGCCTAGAAAGTCTGCTAGTGAGCCTGGTGATACTGTTGCCTATGCATTGATTTGGGCTGTTAAACCCCTAGCCACTCCATAGGAGAGAGACGGGGCTGTCTGTTCATATAGGGTGCAACAGACCTAAAAAAAAACCTGACGTCAGGTAGTGGCTGTGAGTCAAAATCTAGTCTGGCAGTGGGGGCTTGGTTGGGTTCAGAAAGCCTTCAATGCTAGGGTGCTTCTGTGAGTATCAGCTGATTACCTTCCTGTGTGCCTTCTAGCAGAAGGGAATTAAGCCCCAACCTAAGGCAGCCAGAGCGCCACCCGCGAAAGCTGAGAGCGCGCCTTCGGATTCAGAGTCGAGCTCAGAGGATGAGGCACCAAGGAACCAGAAGCTAAAGACAGCGCCTGTGCCAGCGAAGGCCCCTGTGAGAGCCCTAGCCAAGCCAGGTACAGTTTCCATCCGAAGAGGCTGGGCTGAGGCCCAGCTTGCTGTGGGCACTGGTGCTTCGTAGGTTCCTGAGGCACATGAGTGGAGTGGTACTGGTTGTCGAAGTAGTGCTCGATGCCTTTTTTTTTTTTTTCAAGAAGTTTGTTGTAATTAGAGGCTAGCACAGCTGTGGTTATGACAGCAAAGAGGAATGTAGAGAACAAATGTATGAGAATGGCTACTTGGAATCCTTTTAGTTGTATTTCAGAGACATTTTATGTTCCCACGAGTCCCTTTCTACCGGGAACCCTGACACATCTGTTCGCCATGCTGCTCAGTCCCCTGGCCCCCTTCATTCCATAGGCTGAGAGAGAGCTTTTTCCCCCTTGGGTAATCTCTCTGGTGATGAGGTGGGTTGTGGAGGCTTCAGAGGGCAGGCAAGGTGACCAGTGGACTCCTGAGTTCTGGGTGCGGGGGACTGAGTGTGTCCTTGACCTCTGACGGGCCTCGCTGGTCCTCATGCTCGGCTTTCCTCTAGGCGCACGAGTTCAAGCTGCACCTAAGGTAGCCAATGGCAAAGCTGCTAGCAGCAGCAGTAGCAGCAGCAGCAGCAGCAGCAGCAGCAGCAGCGATGACTCTGAGGATGAGAAGGCAGCAGCCAACTCTAAGAAGGTCTCCCAGAACTCTCCAGAGGAGGGGTGCTGGGGTGGGAGACCCACCACTGTGCTCCTTGGGAGGATGGGTTGGGTCAGCACTTTCCAGGGGGGGTGAGTGATTTTCTCTCTCTGACACAGCCTCTACCGAAAAAGCAACTTGTAGCCAAGGCCCCAGCGAAGGCGGTCTCCACCCCTGCCCAGGACAGTTCCAGCAGCGAGGACTCCTCCAGTGAGGAGGAGGAGGGACAGAAGCAGCCCGTAAAGAAAAAACCAGGTGACTGGCCAGGGTCCAATTGCAGGAGGACCTCTGCATTCACCATGTGGCCTCCGCAGAGCTGCTGGAGTGTCCCCAGCTGGCTTCCTCCAGAACAAGGGATCCAAGCGAGAACAAAGAAGTTGGATTGTCTTAGGATCCGTAGCCCATTCTAACCCCCACCGCCAGGGAAGGGGAAATAGCCTCACCTCTAGAAGGGAGCAGGAGCAAAGAATTTGAACAGTCTTATTGGCACATAATCCACATATCACACTGAACCATGTAGTGGTTCAGTCACATCAGGCAGAGTGTATGGTCATAACCACAGTCCATTTTAGGACCTTCTCCTCTTTCTTGTTCTCCTGGTGAGCACCTTGACGTTTCCCCACAGTCTCCCCTGCCATCACCCCCGAGAAACCATTCATCTGATGACTGCCTCTAGGTGCACCCGTCCTGGGTGTCACTACTAAAGGTGGACCTGGTTTTAAATCACCACCCTGTGCTGCTTCAACAGGACCCTACAGCTCAGTGCCTCCGCCTTCAGCTCCTCTGCCAAAGAAGTCCCTGGGGACCCGGCTCCCCAAGCAAGCCGCAGAGAAGCAGCAGCCCGAGGACAGCAGCGAGGACAGCAGCGACGAGTCTGGTGAGGCTGAGAGCTCTAATTGCCCCGAGCAGTCAGGCTGGGAGACATGTTTTGGTCCCTCTGTTCTCGCGAAGGCTCGGGGTATGTTGCCACTCATCCAGTCAGGGTGGCGCTCGGGGCCCCATGATAACGCCACAGTTCTCCCCAGATTCTAGTTCTGAGGAAGAGAAGCAGCGCCCCGCAAAAGCAGTCGTCTCTAAAGCAGTTGCTAAGCCAGCTCCAGCCCAGAAGGCAGCAGAGAGTTCTTCAGATAGCTCAGGTACGGAGGCCCTCAGCAGTAGGACACCCCGTGGGCAGCGGCTACAAGGACCTCCTGAATCTGCTTTGGGGAGCGCTGTTCACCTTGCTCCCTTTGTGTCTAGACTCCGACAGCTCAGAGGATGAGGCTCCTGCCAAGCCAGTTGGCACCACCAAGACTGCCCCAAGTAAGGTGGCTGCAGTGGCCAAACAGCCTAAGCCCTCCATACCTGCCAAGCAGCCTGCTGGCAGTGGCCAAAAGCCTTTGGCCAGAAAGGCAGATAGCAGCTCGAGTGAAGAGGAGAGCAGTTCAAGTGAGGAGGAGGAAAAGGCAAAGGTACAGAAGAAGTCTGTGGCCACCCCGAAGCCCAAAGTGGTGGCCAAAGCAGCTCCAGCTCAGCCCGCCAAACCAGCCCCTCAGGGAGGCGGGGACAGCAGTTCTGATTCCAGCAGCTCCAGCAGCGAGGAGGAGGAGGAGGAGAAAGAGAAGACCTCTAAACCCCCAGCTAAAGGGACACTGCAGAAGGCAGCCGTGACCCCTGCCAAGCCAGCCGCTAAGAAGAAAGTGGAGGCGGAGAGCACCAGCAGTTCTTCCTCTGATGACTCCAGTGAGGAGGAGGAGGAGAAACCCAAGGGCAAGGCCACTCCCAAACCACAGACCCCCAAGGCCAATGGCACCTCTCTTCTGACAGTGGAGAATGGAAAGGCAGGTGGAGACAACGAAGAGGAAGATGGAGCCGTTTCCAAGCCAGGTCTGTAGCCAGGGGACCTGCCTTTGAGTCTTACACCCCCTTCCCCCAAAACTGAGGTGGAATACTGTCTTGGGGGTTGGGATAAGGAGCGGAGACCCACCACTAAACCACCAGTTGTCGGCCTGCAGGGTGAGAAACTGCTCCCTTGAGGCCACCTCTTTTTTTTCTTGTTGGTTCAGGAAAGAAACGGAAGCAGAAAGAGGCTGCCAAGGAGGCAGAGACTCCTCAAGTCAAGAAGCTGAAGCTCCAGACCCCCAACACATTTCCCAAAAGGAAAAAAGTAAGCTGCCCTGGTTTCCTCTCAGAATCCCGGTCTGGCGTCTGGGCTCCATGACCACTTCCCCTTTCACTTCCCCCCTTTTTCTTCTCTAGGGCGAGAGAAGGGCGTCATCCCCCTTCCGAAGAGTCAGGGAAGAGGAAATTGATGTGGATGCTCGTGTGGCAGACAACTCGTTTGATGCCAAGGTGAGGAGCAGGGAGGGTGGCATTGGCTCCGTTCAGGGAGAGAGCAGCCCTTGATTCAGGACCGTGGACGGCTCTCTGCCGAGTCAGTGGTAGAAGAAGCAAGTGAGGGCCCGGTGCTGCGCTTTCTTGTGACCACTTCTCTCTACCTACCAGCCAGGTGCAATGGGAGACTGGGGGGAGCGAGCCAATCAAGTTCTGAAGTTCACCAAAGGTAAATCCTTCCGTCACGAGAAAACCAAGAAGAAGAGGGGCAGCTACCGAGGAGGCGCAATCTCCGTCCAGGTCAACTCCATCAAGTTTGACAGCGAGTGACCGGGCCGTCTGTGGTGACAGGAGGAGTGATACTCCAGGGTCACTCACTTTCCTCAGTGGACGGGAAACCCTCCCCTCTCTTCAGGGCAGCGTGATGTGCATACAGACTGCTGCGGGACGCCCTCTCCGGTCCTGTGTGTGTGTGCCTGGTTTTGCCCAGGTCTGTGTCTGTGTACCCCCGGTCGGGGTAGCAGAGCCACGCAAAGGGGCAGCACAACACTCGTCTTGAAGAAAATGTGTTTCAGCCGTCCTCCTCCCTTTCTGCCTCCACGGTGGAAGTCCTCCGACTGGGGGGTGGTAGTGTTTTATATTCAATCACTTCCTGTGGGTTTTTGTTGTAATTTTTAGAGGCAAGTTCCTACAGATTAAATTCTGGCTGTTGCCTAAAATGTAATCAAGCCCGTGTTTATGGATTTTTATGATCTGCTTGCAGGATAATTCTGCCTGTAAGTCACCTTTCAACCCGCCTGCCCCTCATCGGAAGAGGGCTGAGAGGCAGCCAAAGAATTAACTTTGTTTAGATGGGCGTGTCCCCAGGCATGTTGCGGACACTCATGCACGGGTCCTGGGTTGGGGCTGAAGCTGTCAGCTTGGACCTGTCTATTTGTTTGTGATAAAACACTGGTTACAGGCAAAATTCTAGTCTGGGGTGAATGCCAGGGCTCAGCCTGAGTTTTTTCTTGTCTAATTTATCGCAATTATTATTATGTTTGTAACACATTTTTGCCCCGTCTGCTCCTCTTGAGGACATAAAGCTTTTCTATTGTAGGAAGGCATTTTTGAACCCCCCTGAGTGCCCCTTAATAGCATTGAATAATTTCTTAAGTGTCATCATTTATGATTCCTTGGAGAAACTTTTAAGACGTAGTGGACTGTACCCCCCTGCAAGAACAAAATAACATTAATTTATTATGACATGTATCATTTGGTATTACTGCCTTGGTAACAGTCTCGACACAATTTGGTTTTATTCACACCTCAATGCTTGGGAATCACTGATTAAAGAACAGACGGCGCAGGGAGGTGACAACCCAGTCATTTCTTAAAAACCCCAGTTCTTAGTAGGAATTGGGTTATATTAGGAGCATTTATAAGGGACTTCATTGTGTGCTAATGGAGATGGGAATTATCTTTATAAAGTGTATTAGTTGGTAAAATTTGAGTATAGTCGGGCCTGAAGACACAGGATTAGTGTGTCTGATAGTCATTGCCATAGAGTTGAATTCTGATTCACAGTGACCCTGTAGGGGAGTAACACTGTCGCCCCCTCCCCAATAGTTCCCAAGGCTACAAATCTTTATGGAAGTTGGCTGCCTCAACTTTCTCTCCTGGATTGACTTAACCATTGAGCCACCAGGTCTTGTGATTGGTGCATAGGATCAGTCGAGTGTAATAGGTCAGTAGCATTAAATTGAACAACAAAACCAGTCAGCGATGACACCCAGGGGAGTTGGTTGCATGTGTAAAGCTCTAAGAAGTTAGTGGCAGTGATCCGTCCGCAAATGGGGAAGGACGAGGCAGCGAGCCTCGTGGAGGCTGGGCTGACCCTGTGGTGGAAAATACATGGAGGTCTTTGGATCAAACCCCCCACCCCTTCATATTTCCATGCTCACTAATGTGAAGATAACCTGAGTGTCCATGTAGCTCCCTCTAGGAAGACAAGAACAGACTGTTGATGCTGACATAGCTACTCCAGTCTGCATGGTGCAAGTTCTCCTATCAAGTAATAAAGGAGCTGGATTATAATGTGTCTGGGACTATTCTTGCAAGTGAATCCATGCACCTCTCCCTTTCACCCAAGCCAGAGCAACACTGGTGACATTTCAGGGCTTGGCGTCCAGGCCTGGGGAGGCCACTGCAGAGGTGATCTAGCAGTTTGCCCCACCGTGTCTTCCCGGTAGTATTCCAGCTTGTGCATGGTCTTAACTGGGAGTTGACTGACTTGCTATGACCAATATGGTTTCTTCATATTTAAAGGAACCCTGATGGTTTGGGGCTGTTAACCTCAAGGTCAGCAGTTTGAAACCACCAACCACTCCAAGGGAGTAAGGCAATGCTTTCTACTCCTGTAAATGTTTGCATGTCCTGGAAACCCGCAGGGGCAGTTCTACCCTGTCCTATAGAGTCGCTGTGAGTTGGAATCGACTCGCAGCAAGGTTTTTTTGGATGTGAACATAGGTGGCCCACAATGCCCAAAACATTGTGGGCTTTTTACAGACAATTTGCCAGCCCTTGGTCTAAATAACTGCTGCTTTGCCCTGGCTGCAAATTAGAATTACCTGGGGGAGATTTTGAAAGCTGTTGATTCTCAGGGTCTCATCATCAAACTTGTCTTCTCTGAGGAAACCTGCTTGTTGGTATTACTTAGAGCCAATGTGATTCTAATGAAACCTGGTCTAAAAACATCCCTCTCGTCCCATGCTTATATTTTCCAACGTCCTTATTACATTTAATCATACAATAGTGAGAGTTTTCCTTATCTGAGCCCTGTGTCCTGGAGTCTGGATCTTGGTGTGCATAGTGCAGAACCATGACTTGTATGCATGTCTCAGGTACCCGAAGAAGTGGCGTGGAGCCTCCCCGCAGACAGAAGGGGAATCCAACTCCACAGCTGCCCCACGAGGCAAGCAGACACGCACGCCCTCACCCACCTTGGCCTTCTGACGCCAACCTTCTCTCCCTGCAGCATTTTGCTGTTAAGTTTGTTAAGCCAGTACTTATAAGTAAGGGGCCTTATTAGGGAAGTTATCAGGTAGGTTATAAGTCAGGATAAGGAACCATTAAGGATACACTCTTTACTGCCACAGTGTCTCTTATCTGCCATGCCTCAGGGCTTGTCTCTAGCTCCTTAGCCACAGCCATGCTAACCCTGCCCTCATGTTTGGGAGGTGTTAGAAAAATGGCAAAGGGCACCCAGCTCTGCAAGCGAGGCTCATGCCCGAAGGCCTCCACTTTTAGTGCCTCCAGGGTCCTGGGAGGGCTGCCCATGGGTTTGGTACTGTCCGTTTGTGCAGGGGTCTTGGGCATGCTCTCTCGTGGTCATGAGATTGTTCTGTGGACCGGGATACCACTTCCAGCTTCTAAAACGGCTCACTTTATACTCAGCGAAATGGCAAAGATGACCAATCCCCTCCATTAGTTTCCCATGCGCTCTTTGGGTGGCATTTGCAAAGAGCCACACCACCCTCCCCTCCCCAGCCTTTTGCTGGCACCAGCGGGACAGTTCGTGCCACACGATGTTTGGTGGCTGGTTTTGTAGCAGGACAGTCCTTTGTAATGACTGCTGCTCCATTGTAGTCTTTTAAGGTAGATGTTACAGGACTTCAAAAGACTTGGAAAAACTCCAGGGTCTTAATTCCAATTTCCACAAATATTTTGAAGCTCCCTCGTATGCCTGGATTTCGTTAGAGGAAACATTTCTAAATCATTACTGACCCAAAGGAGATAAGCACCTAGCATTTTGATCGTTGTTAGGTGCCGTCAAGTGGCTACCAATTCATGGTGACCCTCTTGTACAACAGAGTGAAACACTGCGCCTGTGCCAGCCTCACAATTGTTCTTATGTGTGAGCCCATTGTTGCAGCCACTCGTCAATCCACCTCTTTTTCGTTACCTTCTACCAAGTGATCTCCAGGAGCGACCATTATAGCCCTCCCAACTTTGCAGCAAGAACTTAAAAATAAGTGTCTCTTGCTAACCCTCTTGTAAAATTGATCTTTGGTCCTTGGGCACCTGAAAACGCTATGACTTTTCATTTCTCAGCAGTGCAAAGATTATATACTGTATATACTTGAGTATGAACTGAGTTTTTCAGCACATTTTTAATGTAGTTTTTGTGGTAAAATTAGGGGCCTCAGCAGGTCAGCTTATTCAGGTCAGCTTATACTCGAGTATATACAGTGTATATTATATATATATAAAATGATTTGCGATTGACCCTGCCCATATTTCAAATGGATTATTTCTTTTCAATGGTTTGTAAGGGCTCCTAATATATTAAAGAGATTATCCCTTAAGTATAGGTTGCAAATACGTGTGTCTGGTACTGTCACTAAAATGGCCTCTAATATACTTATGTTAACTTTTTTCTTTAAAATAGGTGACTAATTTATGAGCTGCTTTTTCATGGTGTAAAGCTCTGACTTGTATGTTTTCCTTTTGCATTTGCTAAACAGAACCCTTTGACAGAAATGGGAGTACCCAGTAAACAAAGTAAGCCCGTGCTTAAGGCATCAATAGAACAGAGCTGCAGTGGTTAAAAGCAAAGATCCATAAATGCTAGGCAGACAGGACACCGGGAAAAGCGAGTGCTACAGTGGAGGGAAACCGGCAGGACCCTGAATCCCACTGGTGTCCGCTGTGCCTGAGCGGGAGTTGGCGGGGGAAACTGCCTGCAGTCAAGAGTGCGCCCACAGGCAGGGCTGTTTAAGTGAGGAGGCCCTACTGCTTGAACACCTCCCTTACCGTCTGTCCCCGGTGGTCCCCTCCCATGTAATTGAAACCTGTGTGAAGGGTTTCTGAGAATATAAATCTTGGTGGGAGCAGATAGCTCCATCATTTTCCCGAGGAACGGTTGGTGGCTTTAAACCGCCAGCCTTGTGGTTAGCAGCCACCGCAGTCCAACCCACAGCACACCAAGCAAGACTCCTTCAGTGGGCTTCTTTAACAAACCACACTAAAACCAAAACACCACCCTCACTGCCACTGAAGCAATGCGACTCAGAGGGGCTCTAGGGGACAGGGAAGAACCACTCCTGTGAGTATCCGAGACTAAACGCTTATGGGAGTAGAAAACTCTGCCTTTCTCCTGTGGAGCAGCGGTGATTTCGAACTGTTGACCTTGCAGTTACCAGCCCAACAAGTCGCCACTGCACCCCCAGGGTCCTTTTGTGGGCCCCGTGGGAGTATATTATTTCCAGAAAACGAGGTGGGCGTGGGCTCTTGAGTCTGACTTGCTCCATTCACCAGCTAGGCATTTGGATCCAACATAGTGGGGGCTGGATGGGTGATAATGACAACAGGTCCATTTTGAGAAAATGGTCTTTTTTTTTTTTTAAACAATTTTGTTGGCACTTCCGCCTCATACAATTGAATAGTTCAGTCATATCAACAAGTTATATACAGTCATTACCACAACCAATTTTAGAACATATTTTTCCTTGTACTCAGTTATGTAATTAAAAAAAAAATTTTTTTTTTATTCATGTAATTTTTTTTAAAAATTGTGGTACAAATACACACAACAAAACATTCTCCAGTGCAACAACTTATACGGGTATAATGCCATGCCATTGGCTGTGCTCTTCGTGCTGTACAACCCTTGTTGATCCCCTTTCCAAGTGATTCCACCACCATCCACATAAACTCAATGTCTGCTAAGCAGACACTCTTCCC